CAGTGCTTTTAATTTAAAGAGGCCCCTTATCAGTCAAACAGATAACAGCCTATCTGTACAGTACCAGAAAGTACCATGGGTTTATAGCATATTAACTGCTAAGAAATTGCTCTACCATTTTTGGGAATTATAGTCTGCTACGACCTCTAATGTTCCTAGAGAAAAGGAAGTAATTAAAATACAGGAGTGTACTGACCACGACTAACACCAATACCTGGCATTCTTGGACGTTACCTGGGCCCCTATGGGGCTCAGCTATACAATGTCTGCTATTCTGAGCAGCACAAAACAATTGACCAGCTATCTTCTAACTTCCATAATGTCCCTGACCTTCAAATCTGCTCTGATTTGCTTGGATCCCTCCAATGGACATGGGGGTGGGTACCAGAGGATACTATAGTTGCCCAATGAGAATCTACATGGATCAAGCATGGCTTTCAAACACAACTGAATTTAATATTAGAAGAAAACTTGCTTATGGGCCTCTATAGCAAGAAAATTGCTGGAACCCAGTAAGGCCCAACATCACCAAATCTGAATCAAAATAATGCCTTCTTGCACCATATAACATTTCCAGAGTGAGAATGTACACTTATAAAGAAGGCCAAAAATGGGAGCAAGAAAAGGTATAAAGAATAAGTGTAGCTGCTGAAAGAGCTAACTGTAGTGCAGCTTTGAGAACTCTTAGATGTAATGGATTACTTGGAAATGGATTTTGGGTGGAGATGGCCTTGATCACCTGGGAAAGAGACAGGAAGATGCATCATGTTGATGTCCCTGGATTTCTTACTGGCTTTCAATACTGTTGACCATGGTATCCTACAAGGGTACTGCTTTGCAGCGACTCTGATTTTATTTTTCAAGCTGTTACAAATAGAAAGTGATATTGGAAGCCTTTTGCTCAAGGTTCCATTTTGTTTTCCATGTTATTTAATATCTATATGAAGCCACTGGGAAGGATCATTCACGAATTTGGAACTTGGTGTCATCAATATGCCAATAATGTTCAGCTGTATTGATTTTCTCAGTGTACTTTTCCTGTGGACTCAGGGCTGGACATCAGCAGAGTCTCCAGTTTATCTAGGCATAAAAGAATGAGTATAAGAGGATAAGGTGAACTGAATTCAGACAAGATGGAGCTATTGCTGGAAGCAGGGGTTAAACTTTTATATTTTGGGAGATACATTTGATCTTGATGGGGTTGCATTTCTCGCATAGTTATACATTTGCACTCTAGTGGTCTTCTTGAGTCCACCACTGATGCTGTATGGCCACATATTATTAGTGGCAAGAATGGTCTTTTGTCAGCTCTGGCTGATAAAGTAGGGACATCTATACCTGAAGAAGACAGATTTGGCTTTGGTGACTCATGTAATTGTTAACTGCAAGGTTGGACTATGGCAATGAATTTTTCATTTGAAAATGGTTTCAAAATTGCAGGTGGCTGATGATGATGATGATGATGATGATGATCATCATCATCATCATCATCATCTGTTTTAAGGCAGCTTTACTTGGAACAGCTTATATCCTGCAACAATACCTTTAACACCACCAAACAACATCTGCCTATTCCAGGTCCTTGGGAAGGACTTGATAGGTGGATAAAAATGCCAAATCCAGAATAAACATCTGGCTGACTGTATGACCACCACCAACAGAGAAAGAACTGGAGAGAATAGAAAAGAAAGAACTGGAGAAAATCACAAAATATAAAGACGTGCAAATAGAAATAGAATGACTGTGGCAAAATAAAGCAAAGATAGTACCAATAGTAATAGGCATCTTGGGTGCAATCCCAAAACATCTGGAGTACACCTGAAGACCATAGGCATTGACAAAATCACCATCAGTCAATTGCAAAAGGCAGCTTTATTTGGAACAACTTACATCCTGCGACGATACCTTTAACACCATCAAACAATAACATCTGCCTACCTCAGGTCTTTGGGAAGGATTCAATAGGTGGATAAAAATGCTAAATCCAGTCTAAACATCTGGCTGACTGTGCGACCAACAATAATTTAACAGGTATGTGGCATTGCTACTAAATAAGATTGGAAAAATAAACATTCTTCTTATATCGATGCAGGCTTTCATACCCATGGCCTATTAGCCCAGAAACATTCTTCTTCATTAGCATGTATCATGTGATTGGAGGTAGAAGAGCTTACCTGGTATGTGTTGTCAAAACTGTCATACATGAATCTTGTGATCAGGGATGTCTTCCCAACTGTTAAGGAAAACAACAACCAGAGATTAAACAGTACCCATGAATGTTGAGATCAGTCACAATCCTGTACTCTCCATTCAGCTCATAAGCAGGTATTTTAGAAACACATTTCCTGATCAGATGTGATAATGGTGGTGCCTAAATTTATTTTCTATTTATTAAAAACATTCACAAATGACCACGGGGGGAGAGAGAGAGAGAGAGAAAATAACATCAGAGGCTGTGAAAAGCATTAAATACGGTGCTTTTGAATTGGTTCCTCAAAGCTGTATCTGTAAAAGGGAGACAGGAACAGTCTGCTCTGAAGTTAGTACACTTCTGGGCTAGGTCATCCAGACATTCCAAAGAACTTTATTTTAGGCACAATGAAATGGTTGCCAAAGTAGCAAGTTGGGAGCCCAGCAGTTGAAGGCCATCCACCTTGCCTTTTGAAGCAGCCACTTCATTCCTTCAACTGACAAAGACAGCTCCGGAAAATAGGAAGCATTTTAGAAAGGCCTTTTTAACCCCTCTCACCAAGAAATCATTCATTCTCTTCAAACCCCAGACGTTCCGAATGCCTAAGTATATACTTGATTGTTTTTGTAACATGTAAAGCATACCTAAATATATAACAATTTCAAACTCCTAAGCTACCCAAAAGTTCCAGAAAACATCTCACTTGAAACTGTAGTAAAGCTACATTATGTTATTCCATCATAGCTTTGGAAAAAAATAAGATTAGAATCAACATTTATGGCTGTATGAGCAAGAATGTAAAATGATAAAGTAACAAGATAGAACTTTGTTATATCATGTAACTTGATTGACTCAAAAACTATTTATTTTATTTTTGTACTATGTTATCTCCCCAAGAAGCTCAAAGTGACATTCTAAACTCTCTAGATACTGGTACCAGTACAGATATGTATATTTTTATTCTATAGACAGGTTCTAATTATTGCAGCTATTCTTCAACAAATCAAACCACAACAATATATATTGGGTTATCCCTAGTTTATGATTTACTATTAGCTTTTGTTTATGAAAATAATTTCTTAGAAGTATGTCTTTGTTACATTCATAGATATTTTCTAGAGAATTTTTAAAAAAAATAACTGAGTAGAAGAAATGCTTAATTAAAGGCAGTTTAATGATCTTGCAAGTTAAGTAAAGGAGAAATCACAAGATTAGATCTGGTGTGTTTAATCCTGAGAAAAGATGGAACATTTCCTAATGTGGGAGGGAGCTATATTTAATAAATATATAGGAGTCTGCAATTCAAGCACAACTCTTCTTTTATTATTGGCAAGGAGAAGAATGCACAACATTTTTGACACTGACTGCAGAGGTCTGCCTGCCTGCCTGCCTGCCTGCCTGCCTTCCTGACCAACCAACCAACCAGATCTAAATGTATGTGTGACTCATAAAGCAACCATTCCAGATACATGATTGATTTGGAGCACAGCAAGCTAGTCAAAATGGACTGCATGGGACATATACTGTATCAGCAAAACCATGATTTTACATTATGCAAATTTAAAATGCCATGTCTCAAGCTTGCACACTCCTTTTTCTTCTTCCCTAGATGTGCTGGTATTTCCTAAAAGAAATCTGGTTTCTTGGGGAACAGTACATTGCAGGTATATTATCAAACCACTGGTTACTCTACAAGGACTGTGCAAAATTAGGTATTCATCTTATTGGGCAATGCTGGTCCCTTTATCTAGTTTCCTGACTGAGGGTCCTAGAATCAGGAAAAACAGAAAATCAGATATGACTGGATTCAAGCAGCATGGGTTCAAATTTCCAGCCTGTACAGCTTTAAGCAAATGATTTAATGTTTTCAGTGTGCTTCAGTTTAATCATTGATGCAAGGAAGAAAAAAGGAGCATACATAGTCTACAGAGCGATGAGCTACCCAGCCAGTCTAAGCAATTCCCTTTTTTTTCAGCCAAGTTTTTGATTTTAGAAAATAAACAGATACACGGGAAAGTGTGTATTATTTACCAGAGAATCTAAGCGGCTCCCCCTTTAGCATGTACAATGTTGCTAAAATACACTGTCATGTTTAATGTATTGTTTTATTAATAATTTTTGCATCAATATATGGTATATTGTACTGTTGCTCTAGGGCAGTGTTGTCCAAACTTGGCCACTTTAAGATGAGTGGACTTCAACTCCCAAAATCCCCCAGCCAGCCATGCTGGCTAGGGA